GCGGTATGGCTCTGTTCTGGGATCTCCCTGCCCATCCGCGCCTACGCGGAAAGCCATGAGGCGGGGAGAGCACACCTCTCTGCCCTTCCACATGCCTATGTGGAAAAACCATTAGGGTACGGAGAGTACCTCCCTGCCCATCCATGGAAATCCCAAGGCAGAGAGCAGCATTACATTTACAGTTTTTCATTTAGCTGACGCTTTCATCGAAAACAATTGCTATTTTATGTCAGAGGTTGCACGTCTCTGGAGCAACTAGGGGTTAAGTGTCTTACTCAGGGACACATTGGTGGGTGTCACAGTGGGAGTTGAACCTGGGTCTCACCAAAGGCATGTGTCCACTGCTCCTTCAACACACCCAGCAGTAAAGAACCCCTGTACAGAACAGAGCAGGCATTTGCGATTTACATTTTTAATCAGATGCTAGATGGGCACTGAAGCATGGTGTTAAACCGTACCGAACCGTAAAAGACCATACTGTTTATTAACAGGCTGCAGCCTCCGCTGCTTTGTGTTGCCTCCCGCACATGAACACACATGTGGGCTCACAAGCACAAACAGTGGCAAGCGCAGAGATAGGTCGTGGACATGTTGAAGTGAAGGTAACTCCAAGCTACTCGAGTTGACGACAGCCACCCTCACCACGCAGTATGTGCAACAAAACCTCAAGAGAAAAAGACAACTTTGTCGATACATCCTTTAAACGAGCATAACATCTGGAAGAAGTTATTTGATCCGCACTGTCCATATTTCTCATCCTCTATGTTTAAAAGCACACCGCGCTAACACTAGCTTGGCAAAGCTAGATGTACAACGAGCTAAATAAAAGCTGTCTGTAGTCTAACTGCTAAGCTTAGATTGCCATGTAGATTCAATCTGCACATTGTTCCCTGCAGTGAATCACGCAGAGACAGAGAGAAGGAGCACAGGAGCTAACTGCCTGAACTGTGTCCGTGTGGCTCTTTCAGCACAAAGCAAAATGACGCCAAGAGCGCAACAATGCGGCGGCGCATGTTAGCATGTTTGATTCTATTCTGAAAAATTCATTCCCCAGTATGCTTCTGATAATGAGATGTGCCCGATCGGCCAATACTTATCGGATCAATAATTGTTGTGCATCGCTATCAGATACAGCCTGACAGGTGGAGCTGCGGTGGCGGTGGGTTTTGAGCTTTTGCATAGGAAGCAGCGAGGACAGGCAGGTACGCTACAGCAGCTTAAATAGGCACCTTGTATGCAATTTGACAGTAAATGCTAAGAGAGGAATCAGCTGAGCTGTCAGCTGAGGTGCTGCTGAAGTTGTCTGCCATCTGCTGATATGCTGGAAAGAGCTGAGCTTGACTTCGTTGGCTGCCTGAACGAACGCTATGCTTGATTTGTGTCATGCATTTCAAAGGTGAAATCTGAGTATCCTTGAACATATCAAGATCAAGATTGTCCCTGCTTAACAGTCTGTTGATAAAAGAATAAAGATGACAGGCCACCTATCTGAAGAAGGTTTTTAAGCATCTGTCTATTGATTATCATGGTAAAATCAACTGTTTGTGCCAAGATGTGCCTAAAAATGCTGATTTTTTTTAGCTGGAATGTGTCCTTTTTTTAAATCCGTAGTTAAGTAAAATTTTTTCTTTTGTTTTCTTTGTTTTGTACCTTAAGATTGTCAACTCATTTTTATTTATATAACCCAAAGTTGCAACTTTGCCTTAAACAGCTTTATAATCAGTACAATCCTTAGACCGTATATATTAACGCTATATCCTACAATCCATATGCCCCATAAAGCATTAAGGTGATCACCATTGTGACGGCCACGAGAGGTCTTGGTGTTGGGCCTCTGTACTGTGTGCTGTCTGTGGTTGCTTCTCAAGTCTCTTGTCGTTTCCTCGCTCCTCGCTTGAACCGGAAGTTGTTCCACTCCACCATCTTGCAGACCGTCCCAAGGCTCTAATTTGCACCCAGAGGAGCGAGGATCGAGGAGCGATCTCTGAGGAGCTATGAGCGAAGATACACTAATGCATCCTTCGCGGAAGTCTTTTACTGACCGACAGCCCCCCTTATTGAGTTGCCGTTATATTGATTGGACGCTGCAGCTGATCAGACTGATCTGATCCATTATGACAGATAACATAATGTAGGCTATACAAGTGCATCACTGCAAAGAGTTAGGCTATATTTGATTTGTTTTATGATTCACTGTTCATTGTAGGTCTGAACAACAAAAGCCCCCCACACAACTTTATTTATTTATTAGTCTTTCTTTTATTTCTCCCATCAACCTTTATTATGGAGACAATTTCTATTCAGTCTCATGTGAGGCTGGTCATTCCTGTGTTTAGTCCAAATAGACGCCAATAAAACATGTTATCGGACAAGTCACTAACTAGTCTGTAATGAAACAAGCAAAGGAAAATAAATCCGCTCGTCCAGCCGACCTCAACTATTGCATCTGATGAAAGCAGCCGGAGGCTCCGCGAGTAAAATCAGCTGATGAAAGTATGAATGAGAGCCGCTGCGCTAAAAAAAACATCGGATTGATATGATGGAAGGCAGTGATCAATCGGTGACCAGTGATGTGACTTGCATAAATTAAATGTAGGCCTGTGCAGTAGGCTTGAGAAAGGAGAGGCTGCAGGTCCAAATCAAAATTAACAAAAGATTTAATTACAAAAATGAGTGAATAAAGAGATGGCAGAACAAACAAACAACACTGCAGTGGACTGAAAAGTTGGTTCTCCTTTCAGATTTACACCTTTCAGTCCCGATTCTCACAAAATGAGTTGTTTATATCCACCAGGTATGTGGGCGGGTCCTTTTTCCTCCACATGGCTTAAGTCCATAGTCATTGGTGGTTTGGTTGGTTTCTTCGTCACCCAATTAGGAAGGGTGTACCATTATTGTATTCAGGGTTACCTTTGATCAGGCAAAAGAGCACCGATCCCAGACGTGAAACCCCCCTTCAATCTACAGGAATAAACAGTCTTTTGCTCTAAACTAATCATAGAGAACAACAGGGCTTGTCTACAGATGGTTGACACCCTATCTTAAATGTCAATGAAACAGTTAAAACAAAACCGTCCTTAAACAAAGAGGTACGTGTCAGTTTTCTTCACATTACAAAGAGGATACAAACAATGGTTTAATCAACATTCTGATGCAATCATCTGGCCTAAAATCCAGCAGTTTATATTTTAAAGAAAACAGAAATTCATTAGGTAAAAAATGTCAGCTTTGTTTTAACTTTTTAAACTCTACACTAATGTTAAAGGATATCAGAAGAGGAAATAAACTGAAAGCCTGAAACTGAGCCTCAACTTACATCATTTAAATTTCCCTGAAACATTTAGCCTAATAAATCCCAAGACAACATGATCATATTCTGGGCTATTCACTAAAGAATTCCCAATCAGAATCAATACATATAAATGCAGATAATAGCAGCATTGTGCCAGTAGAAATGATCCTGTTCCTCTGAGCAGGACATACAGTAACCTATAATTATTCATGTGCAGGTGTTTGTTGAACAGGTAACTGCTAAAAGAGAATCATGCTGCTCTGCACTGATAACTGAGACATTTTTAGTAGGCTATTAGAACAGTGCACATGTGTGCAGACACAACCTCCATCAAAAGTTTCTACAGTATGCCACTACAGGATGTAAATACTGGAAGCCAGGCAGAGACATTGCTGTGTTTCTCCATACATGTTAATAATGTAATCACTGCAAAATGAAAGTTATATCATAAAACCTGGCAGAGTTAGCCACTGTACTTTACACAACCATTTGATGTAATAAACCTGGAATTGTTATTTACTTTACACTTTGAGAATGACTGCCCAAAGTTAGCAGTTATGTTATTCTGGTCATCCATTGTGTGGTTAGTTAGGGTGGTGAGTACTTGTACTGTGCTATTTATATTTTGTAAAATTATAATTTAGCTGCACATGACTTTTTTTGTCCTTTTGCACACTGGGACTCTCCAACGTGTGATATTATAAATAAACATGCCAATCATTGCATGTGAGCAGCTGAGATGTGTCTTGTGTTGCAGTTTTAAAAAATGAAGAAGAGGCAGTTTCATGTTCCTTCCTGTTGTGCCAGAGCTCTTACATCATTTTTCCTGTTGCTTTCATCAGTGCAAGTAGCTCTGAAACTTTCAGATACTTTTTATAACCAGTAAATAAAAAAAAACACAAACTCATTATAAAACACAAGACATTAAACAAATGTACTCTTCCTAAGATTATTGTGCAAATTGTGTATCGTACATTTTATTGTGTTAAACAAAAAGTAATAATTAACATTTTTTGAAGTGTTATCAGTGTCCTTGTAATGTTTTCAGCTGCATCTAAATGATCTTTGATCTATATGTGATCAACGTTATGTTCTCTTCACTTTGCCACCAGTTGGCTGTTTGCCATGTGTTTTCGCTACCGGAAGTTATTCCAACAAAGCTTTCTGGATCAAAAACAACATTTGTAGTTTTTACCAGTTTATTTTGACCTCTACTAATAAACATATAATGTGAAGTTAAAATTATGCAATGTACCTTTGCTTTTTTTTTGTTTTGTCTATATTAATCAGTGAATGTGAAGCTTGTCAGAATCCAACTCTGACGACACAACCACCGACACACAAAGGGTCATTCTATCTGTCATATACCTTTTCTTCAACTGTCATATTAGGACCAATGGGAGGCATGATCATATAAATACTATTTTAAAGCTTTTTGAAAAGGGGTTGATTTGATGATTGTTATTTTTTATGCATTATTAACATATACTTTTACATCATTATGAGTCTACATGATTATTTTTATATTTTGAGAGGAAGTTAGCAAGTGTTGTCTATTATGTGATTGATCTTCTATATTTCTGTGTCATGAAAGTGCCAACAGATAGGTTGTATTATTCAGCAGGACTGTGTGAAAAATGTTGGCAGTATGCAAATGAGAAATGCTACCAGCAAGTAGAGAATCATTACAAAAAGAAAAGAAAAACACTCCAAAGTCCACCAGTTTATTTTAGGTCATATTTCAAGCCCTGTCGACTATAATAATATAATATTATCCCTGTGTTGACCTTTCTACAATGGCATATCTGGTATTAAGTGACTTTACAGTAAGCTTCACATACTTTACATATTATCAATATAAGAAGTCACAGCCAAATTCTGTATGTTTCTGCATTCACTCACTATCTTCCATCTTTTTGGTTCTGCCATGTTTTACAAACCAAGTTAAATTTATTCATAGACTAGTATTCTATCATTGTAAGCCGGTTTTGAATTTAACTTTTTTACCAGCATTTGTTTGGGCTGCCACTCTGCCTCTTTTGAAATGTGGTAAATGAAGAAATTACATTCAGCTCATTTAGGCATCATTTGATGTAAATAATGTTGTCATTCAATGCTTAATATATTTAAACAAAAACATTATGATGAAATTAAGTCATGTACTGACTGACATGTAATGTTTTTGTTGTGTAAACATATTGAACATTAAACAACAACATTACGTGTCCTGATCAGAGTATCTATGCAGGACACATAGCAGGGAACAGATTTGTCTGCCAGTTGACAATTGATGCTATTGCACTGTCAAGCCTTGATTTAAATTGTGTAGGCTAAGATGCATTACTTTTTTGTCATTTGGAGGGAAGAACAACTCCACAACAAGCTTCCAGCTCTCAACTATTCTCAATTTTTAAGTCAACATAGTATATATAGTTTTGACAGAGCTAGACAAGCTGTTTCTTTGTGCTTTTAGTGTTTAATCCAAGCTATGCTAACCATCTTCTGACTCGAGCTCTGCACTGTCATGATACAGTGGTATCTTTTTCCAATCTTTGTCTCAGAAAGAAAGCAAATAAGAGTATTTCCAAAATGTTGAACAGTTTCTGCGTTGTATTCTGGGAATTTCACATTTAACTTTATATATTAAGAAGAATATACTCAGTAAAATGTAAAGTAACAAGATACAAAGTACATAAGATACAAAGATAAGCTTGCTGCATGACACCAGCCCTCCTCCTCCTCACATACAGGAAACAGGACACAGTTTATGAGGTAAAGGGTTGCGGCTTAAGCCCACACGTGGACTCAGATCCAGTTCATCCTCTGAAACTCCAGGTGGAGGAGTGAAGCGAAAGTTTTGCAGGAGGGTGGTGAAGAAGATGAAAAGCTCCATCCTGGCCAGACTTTCTCCAAGACAAATCCTGCGGCCTGTAAGAGACAACAAAGGAAAATGTTCATGTCAACTGCAAGTACGTGATCATCAGGAAGTGATGGCAAAATTCACCAACCTGCAGAAAAAGGCATGAAGGCATCTCGCTTGACAAACTTTCCATCTTTGTCCAGGAAGTGGGCAGGATAAAAGGTGTGTGGGCTCTCCCACTCACTCTCATCATACAGGACAGAAGTCAAGAGAGGATACACTGTGGTCCCCTGTAGAAAATACTCAAATTGAACTTGACAAAACATGACTTCCTAGTAAATGTGAATAAAAATTCAAATTGTGAGAAAAAGAAAATCAAGTCTATTAGGAAAATCATATTTCTTCTGATGGAAAAATTAATCCTGATGAAGACAAATAAATCCTGAGGTAGACAAAATAAAAGGAAAGTTAACATGAATAATATAGTACTGATACTTCTGATAATGATTTATTTTTTAAACAAACCTGCTAAACTGCATTGGTGGTGACATTTTCTTTAGTTTTTTATTACCTCAAAATATGTCTAAAAAATGTTTTTAATCTTGCTACAAATTTTGATAAGAATATTATGAGGTCAACAAAGTCAACATCATGCTTACTTGCTTATGCTTTAAATGTTTTAATTTATTGAAACATTTTATTTCATTATTGTCAGGGCATGTATTATTCAGTCTAACCTTCTTAATGAAGTGACCCTGGAAAGTGACATCTTGGGTAGTTTTATGAGGAAGTGCCATGGGGGCGATGTTGGCCAGTCTCTGTGTCTCGTGGATGACAGCGTCAGTGAAGGGCAGGTTCTTCCTGTCCTCAACCTGCACCTGACGACTTCCTATCACCCTGCTCAGCTCCTCCTGGACCTGGTCTGGGAAATGAAAGGGGGCAGATGACAAGATTTGTCTTCTTGTTATGGTGAGGATTTTGTGTTTATTTTAATGCTTGCTAATGAAAGCTGTGCACATTTAGTGCTCTTTACCCTGTATTTTGGGATATTTGGTCATAAACAGCAGTCCCCATCTGAGTGTAGTTGCTGTTGTATCAGTGCCAGCAGCAAACAAATTAATAACTGTGATCAAAAGGTTTTCATTGTGGAAGTGACTGTTAGTAATCCCAGATTCCTGCATAGAAAGCACACAAATTATTAAGCCCCCCTCATTGCTCTACTTTTGTCCTTTAAAGGCTTTGACATAATTAAGTTTTGAGCTGATTCTTTTCTCTTGTTTTTTCACCAGCTACGGAGGAGCACAACCAGGAGGGCACAACATGTACAAAAGTTCACATTATTCCCCTGTGTAAACCATCATATCCATTTTGATAAGTTAAACATTTCCAAACCTCCAGATTTTGCTTGTGGACCAGAAACGCATCCACAATGCCTCTGCACATCTGTGGATTGAGGGTCTCTTTCAAACGACTGAACAGCTGTAAGTTCTGTTTAATATTGGCAGCAAACAATTTATGGAATTCTTTTTTGCCGGCAAACCATTTTCCAATCCAAGGAAACAGGTTATACACCTGAAAAAAAAACTTATCTATTAATATTTAAGATAGTATTATCTTTTTAGAAAGAAGGTGAAAAATCTAACAATTTCTAATGTATCATACTTATAGTATTAAAAGAACTATGTTGAAAGTATAAACTTCAGAAACTTCAGAAACCTGTACTGATGGGGTCCCCAATAGTTGATTGTTTCTGCTTGTTCGATCTACCATGGATGTAAACTCTGGATCGTCATATTCAAATCTGCTGCCATAAACAATGGAGCAGATAATGTTAGAGACTGCATAGTTTATTGGCCCAGTCGTATCAACAGCTTCTCCTGCAACAAGGGAAACAGCGAAAACAATCTATAAATGAGGACTGAGGATTTTTTCGAAAGCTAGAAATGTTGCTTATCATGCAGCTGGTTATTAAAAGACATTTACCTTTATATTTCTTAAACACTTTAAGAAGATAGTCACATTCCTCAATGATTTTTTCCTCACAAGTCTTCTTGCCCATCCCAAAGTCTCTCAGGTTGGTTATGGTAAAGCGCCTCATCTCCTTCCATAAATCGCCATTGGACCATACAATACCTGAGTGGAAGTAGTTCAACAACTTTCTAAACGTGGATAAAGGCTCTAAATATTTGCTAAACATCAATTACAATGTTTGGTCAAAAGCTCAGTTTTTTTATTTCCTTACCATTTCCTTTAATAACTTCATGCACAATTAGCATTGGATCTCTGTCTCCAAACTCATCAGCGTAGTTGACAAGTGCCTCCTTCACTGTCTTGTATCCAGCCAGAACCACCACTTTCTTGGGTCCCAAATAGACGGTGAACACTGACCCATATTTCTTGGAAAGCTAAAAAAAGGGGAACAAAGTCACAACATTTTCTTGCTTAACGCACAAACACCAGGTAAAGCAGACAAGGTAATAACAGTTTAAATAAAAAACCTTCTTCAGCCACTTCTTCACCTTCAATAATGTGTTGTAGGGTCTCTTAAGGTCGAGTTGCAGCAGATTCCCAAGCAGGGGAAGTGGTTTTGGTCCTGGAGGTTCTTTCCTGATCTCCTGCGAGTTGAAGCTGGAGGAGGAGATGAGGTAGAGAAGCAGCAGGACCACCAGAGCCCCTAACAGGGAGAAAGAGCTGGATGTCTGGACAAACACATCTAACATCTCCATTATTAAAAAATAATCTGCGTCAGTTTGTTGCCACTGCAAGTTCCCTCCCTGCCCTGCTGTCACTCTAAATTGAGAATACGTACTGACCAAAGATCAGAACAAATACAAACACTCTCTTCAATCATTCTAGGTCAGTGTTCTCTGAAGTTAAATAATTAAGCACTTTAACAGTTTAGTAAACTTCCTGGTAAAGTTTTTACTGGACAGGTTAACAATGACTAAAGACTCACATTTGGATTTGAAGGTTTACAGCAATGTTGCGTCTTTGTGCCCCAATTTGTATTATGTTTGAGTAAGGTTTTTGTTTACACTGCACATTTCACATAATTACAGCAACTCCATAAACTTAGTGTTGCACTTACATAAACACAGAACAGTGAATTTTCAAAGTATGTTGTGAAAATTGACCTCTGGACTTTTGGTCCCTAGTATGATAACAGACATTGTGTGCCTCCATTTGCACCATAAAACAAGCCAAACGTGCAGAACAATCTGGTCTTATCCAAAATGATGAAGATCAAAGAGTGGGAACAATTTTCTGATTCAACATCTGATTTTTTTTTGGGAACCCATTCATTTGCTTCATGACAACATTACTAGACTGGAGCCTGAGGCCACTGACATCAAGATGAGAAAGCTCCTCACAATGCATGGAGGGTTTCACCCCAAATCCAGCACCCTGAGACTGTACACCAAGCGTAGCGAGGGAGGCCGAGGGCCAGTGAGTGCCAAGACCACTGTCCAGGATGAAACGACGAAGATCCAGGAGTACATCAGGAAGATGGCCCCCAAAGATGAAGGGCTTAGTGAGTACCTCAGGCAGCAGAAACCCGAGGGTGAGGACAAGCAAGATGAAGAACCTTCATGGAGGGACAAGCCGCTGTACGGCATGTACCACAGACAAATAGAAGAAGTGGCTGATATCAAGAAATCCTACCAGTGGCTGGAAAAGGCTGGACTAAAGGACAGCACAGAAGCACTAATCATGGCGGCACAAGAACAGGCACAAGATCAATAGAGGCTGGGGTCTACCACACCAGGCAGGACCCCAGGTGTCGACTGTGCAAGGATGCCCCTGAGACAGTACAGCACAAAACAGCAGGGTGTAAGATGCAGGCAGGAAGTGCGTACATGGAACGCCATAACTGCCATGAGTATGGTCTGGAAATCCCAAGGTCAAAATGGACAAGCTGGTGATGGCTAATCAACCAGACATCGTGCTGATCGACAAACAGCACTGGGGGCTGTGACCCCCAAACTGGGAGAGTGGCTACAGCAGATTCCAGGTAAGACATCAGAGGTCTCTGTCCAGAAGAGTGCAGTCCTAGAAACAGCTAAGATACTGAGCAGAAACCTCAAACTCCCAGGCCTCTGGTAGAGGACCTGAGCTTGAGGATGAGACATACCACCCTGCAAGGGGTGAGAATCCCCCTCTCACCCCTTGCGGGGTGGTATGCCAGGGTTTTTATTGATATTTTATTTAGTTAAATTTTCCAAGTGTGTGCAGTTCAGGCATTTGACGGGTTGTAAAACATATATCAATTTGCACTGCAGGAACTGTTCACCTGTGGATGTTCTTCAGGTAATACTTACTACATTGGCAGACTGGCTGTCAGACTGTAGGACTACAGCCTCAGGGTCAAGTTACAAATATGATACAGTAGTTTCTATCAACACCACATCACTGACTTCTTATCTATTATCCATATTGACTGAACAAGTACATCATTTTCACACAAAACCGACATGCCTCCAGCCTCAGCCTCCAGCCTAGACCTACTATATTGTTATAAATTATATAATTTATTGTATTTAAAGTGTTAAGAGTTAAAAATGTTCCTTGCAATAAAAAATGTTAAATAACTGAGAAAGAGAAAGAAAGGTTTATTTGCACAATAAGAAAACAGGCAATGCAATGTAAACATAGAAGAACAAATGTGCATTATCCAAAAATGTAACTTAAGCTAAAAGAACATGCTGCTGATTACAGCATTTTATTTGTATATTTTGAACGGTCACCTGCCAGCGGAATTTTGTGTTTCCTTTTTATATAAATAAAGATATTTCCACCATAAATTGGTGCAGAATAATTCTCCAGAAGTCAGAAAATTAAGTGTTTAATGCTCAAAAATGTCTGGGGAAGGATTGCCAGACTCCCCACTCATACATCTCAGAATTGAATATTACTTCAAAATAGGGTTAAATGGTTAAAAGGTGTATTGTCACACACCTAATCTAAGCCCTTATGTCACCAGTACTTTTCAATATAAAGTTAGTTTATATATATATACATATATACACAATGCTATGAGAAAAAAGTGATACTTTTAGCTACTTTCTTATTAAGTCGGCCCTCTATTGTCTGCCACGCTTTTTCTCACTGTTTTAATACTGTGGCCGTGTTTCTTTCTTTCTTTTTTTTATATGAAAGTTGTTGACGTGCATTTATTTGAATTACTTAAACCTGGGCCCTGTTTCAGAAAACAGGTTCAACAAACTCTGAGTGTAAACCTGAACTCTGGGTTGATGAACTCTGAGCTGTCAAACTCCAAATTTTCCGTTTCAGAAAGGCCGATCAGAATAAGTTCAGTCAACTCTGAGTATGTTGAGCCTGCTGGAAGCGCGTGCGTGGGGATGAACAAAAGCCATCATCAATGGAGCTCTGATACGATTCACCATGGCAACGTGTAAATTATACAGCGTTGCTCATTCATCATTTACCAGACTGGAATTTCCTTAATGAATGCTAAAGTGCTTGAATTCTCCTACAGCCTGTTATTCATTTTAAATACAGGCCTGTTTATTCAGCTGTAACTTGGGACTAAATGCCGCTGGCAATAACTGAAGATGAAAATATTAATCGAACAGATTAGACACAGTTTAGGCTCCTCATGGACCTGTGATTGTAAGTGACAGTCCGACTCAGTAGGCCTATTAATGATTTTTTTGCAATGTAAAATGTGTCCCTGTTCAAACTGACAGTGAAGTTTTAGACGTCTATGTTCCATTAATAAAATCTTGCTCATTTCGTATTTTAAGAAATGCTGTGAAAACACATTCAGACTATCAGCAGATAATGAAAAACTCACTTTTGAACTACATTTATTTGTTTCAGCTGCACCACAGTCATCCTCACTCAGAAATATTCACATCATATCCAGTTGATAACTACGATAGGAATGTTCAATCTGTGCGACTACAATATGAAATATTACTGTTCATTGATCAGTTTTATACAGATCAGTTTAAACAGTGATTAGGCCTACTGCAACACCATAGCGCACGGTAAGTATGTTGCCTTACGCACAGAGTCACTGTGTTATAAAGGACAGTGTAACTTATAGATTATATTCTGTGCTGAGGATAAATTTACGATGTCCAAAGATAACTGTCTGTCCATACATCGATGACAGATTGATCATAAAAGCGTCATGTTCAAGATCATGTTTGGATAAAAAAAATTTATAGCCTATAACGTGATTTCGATTGTTTCTAAAGATGTAATTGCATTCCAATATGTGCTTTAATATCTGATATCTGTATTATTGAAATCTGCTGCCATAAACAATGGGGCAGATAATGTTAGAGACCGCATGGGGTATTGGTCCAGACATATCAAAAGCTTCTCCTGCAACAAGGGGAAAAAAATAAAATAAAACCCCATTACAAGGATTACTATCTTTTAAAGCCCGAAATGCAGTTGGTTATATTCAGACAATAGCCCACCTTTAAATTTCTTAAACATTTCAATGAGATAACCACATTCCTCAATGATTTTGTCCTCACCAGCCTTCCTGCCCATCCCAAAATCTTAGGTTGGTCGTGGCAAAGCACCTCATCTTTCCATGAATCACCATTGGACCATGTAATACCTGTAATGAAGTAATTTCTAAAACCGTCATAATACAAGAACTTAAGGATTCAAAGGCAGACTCGGAACAGTTCGAAGGAGTAACAAAGGGTTTTATTGAAAAGTGCAAGACTGGGTGGTAGGTTCCAACAGGGCAGAATGGAGAACACGGAGGAGGGGAGTTTGTCCAGGCAAGATGTGAGCAGAGCAGGGTGTGGCATTCAGCAGAGTTCCCGGAGGTAGTGTGATCCTGGGCACAGAGAAAAACAGGTTAATCCAGGGGGACACAGAAATTACAAGGAATCTTACTGGAGTAGATAGTTGGCCTTGACACATGTACCACATGTGGTTAACTGACGATCTGGCGAAGAATGTGAGGACTAGGGTTGAAATACTGCAGAAGCTTGATTAGTGGAATGAGGACCAGGTGCGCCGCTAGAGCCAGAGAGTGTACCCACGCCCAGACAAACACAGAATACACAGGGAAGGGGGGAACAAAAGAACACAAGGTAGTGGGGAGATTCTGCAGTACCACAACAAAAACTGGATACAGGCTATAAATATCTGGTAAACATAAAATATTGTGTTTGGTCAAAACAGGGTTTCAGCTGGTTCTTAAATAGTCATGTCTAAGATCAAATAATCTGAATTTGGCCTCAAAAAGTCTTTAGACAATTATAAAACAATTTTGACAGGTTTAAATGTTGATTGGATAACAAGGTTAGCTTTACATTTAACTTCAGTCCCGCTTTTAAATGTGTCCCCCCCCAGAAAAATTGTTTTGGATATGAATGTCGATTAATGATTTTCACAAAAGCTTAAGGTTTTTAGCTCCTATGTAACATTTGCTAGATTTATAGGAAATAATGTTAATTAGCAGCATGTCATTACTACCTACTCCTCCAGGTTTGAGGAAACTAGAAACAAGCTTACACTAAACATCTCAGTCCTGTCCACATACTGTATATCTTGATAGTTAAATTATATTTCAGTTTTCAGATGAGTCTGATAAACAGGTTGTCGGGGGGGGAAGGATGGTGGTGACATGGAGGAGCGGAGGTTAGTAAAGAGAATTAGGGATGCAAATAGTCCCTTTTAAGCTAATGCAAATAAATTGCTTAGTAATTCTCATGTTCTTTTTTGTAGTTCTCATGTTGCCTGTTGTTAGTTTCTACAAATAAATGTCAAAGGGCAAACATGAACAAGGTAATATTAACTGTCATGATTTGTGGTGTGGAAGGGTGGTGGACCCAAATACAGGACACAGAGCAGAGGCCTGTACCACGAAGCAGGATTTGAGCTTATCCAAGTAACTTTGGCATTAACCCTGGGTTTTCA